TTATATAATATGATAACATAAGATTATTACTATAACATATGATGTACAGATATATCTCGCCGCTCGTGTCCCCGTCAACGACAGACTCGTTTTTTCTCACTTTTTAAACCGCGTAGGTGCCTACCTACGCATTTTTTTTCCAGATTCAATGTGGTAGTAATTTTTATTTCCTACAACCTAGATTTTAGATCAGACTTGTTTTGAAAAATCTCGTCTAGCTTTTTGCGATACTCTGCTCGCAGCACAAAAAAACAAACTCCACAAACCGTCTTGTTTATCGATCAAAAAAAAAAGTCACCTATATTGACGGGGACACAAACGAAACGGCCGGCAAACCGTGCATCCATACTTTAATACTTGCCTATAGTATTCATTGCTTGAAACAACTTCAAATTAATGTGTAAAATTTGTGTGTAACGTTTATACAGGTGCCATGCTGTTGTGGCTATCTTTTTTGTACATAGTCATCACGTTCAAAGACTTCGTACAGAAAAGTTCAGACTTCGTTATTGTGCCCAAAGGACAAGCGTCCACGTCGTACGATCAGTAAGTGAGATAGAAACTGCAATGTGGAACACGTCGTGTGTGTGTGTGTGTGTGCATTGTACACAATAATGGTTTTTTCTTTCGGGAGTTTTCCTCCCCCCTCCCGTCACAGATGCGAAGATTTCCACTATCGAGCGCTGCGAAATATGAAAAACTTTATTCTAGTATTATTATAATACATTACCTACATACCTACTGCGGTCGACATATCATAATACAATATACCCATTATAAAAGAAATTTCCCTCGAGTTTAGGTGTAAAAACAGTTTTGAAATATATAAAAGCGGATAGATAACTAGGTATTGAATTCTGTCTTCTAACAAATCCGTATCCTGCAATCGAATGTGAAGGGTTTAAGTATATATTATATATATTATTATATTAAAGTCAGTGTCGGACAAAAACACTCTACTCTGATGATTAGATTTTTTATAGATGATAATATTATGATAATTTTCAGTTAATTGTTCAATATCTACCAGTAAGAGTCAATTTATTTATTTTTTATAACTATTTCATGATTAATATTGTTTAGCTTTATTTTTTATAGATGATAATATTATGATAATTTTCAGTTAATTGTTCAATATCTACCAGTAAGAGTCAATTTATTTATTTTTTATAACTATTTCATGGTTGTAATGTTGTACCTACTTATATAAAACAAAGTTGTCTATATATCACTGATGCAGAATATCAGTATTTTATAGCTAACAAAAATAAAGCTAAACAATATTAATCATGAACAACGGTTTAATTTATAATCACAGAACATGATTTATTTCACTTGCAAGTTTTAATTCACATATTTTACTATACTATGTTATGATATAAGACATTGTCTTAATCCTTAGTATTGTTAAATTTAATGAATGTAGATTTATCAATTTTAAGTTAAAAATATAATTTTAGACTTAGTGCAGTAAAGTCAAGTGAGAAAATGTATTATGCCTGATATGCCTGATATGGTATGATATCTCAGATTAAATTTCACTGCAAAAGATGTCCCAAATCAAATTCATGAAATGTTTATACAATATTGTGTGGTTGAAGTTTATAAGAAACAATAAGACAGTGTGGGTGTATTAAAAAAAAATAATAGTTTAAATTTTAAAGTGGTGGGTACCTACACACTTAAGAATTTGAAACAAAATCCAAATAAATCTGTGATAGGTATGGTACAGAAATTTGTTTTTAAGAAATGTGTTACTTTTTATTAATCATTGATTTAGAAACATTATAGTACAATAAATGTGACTTACAGAACTAAGATTATCATACCCCCATTGCAACTTTTTTATTACATTTTTTCATCATTACATTTCAACAATGTTAATAATAATTATGGTACTTATTTTTATTTATATAGCTATTAGTAATATACTATTACAATGGTACTTATTTAAAAACAAAGAATCACAATAATAATTGAGTCAAATTACAACTAATTGGGCATAAGTACAAGACTATAATGATAAATAAATAGGTGTAAATTAAACACAATATATAATATATATGGTGTGCAATGCCCATAGCTAAGATTAAGGTATCTACTTTTAGAAACAAAATGTATTAAATACTCTTACTAATCTTAACATAATAAAATGTTTGATGCGAAAATAGATTACATATTTTAGTGTTAGAATTATCAAAGTACAAAAAGATAATATGGTTCAAAATTATAAAACCAAGCACTTAAAATTATTCAAATATGGAGTTTWGAACACACTATTAATAGATTAGCAAGTCACGAAAAGAAAATATTGGGGAAGGTATAAATTATCCATATTCCTCTATTTAAAAAATAAATATATTATATATGCATTAGAATATCTTATATTTTATTATAATTTATAAGTTTATAATTATTTTATTTGTCCAGGTACGATGACATAACAGATTTGCTCGGAGACTCTATTCATGTATCATTGTCTGCAGACAATCTATCCGAATTGGACCAAGATGGAATATTAGAACTATAATAATATTGTTGTGTACAAACATATGTGTTAAGTTTAATAATATATTCTGTAAATAGATTTTCATTTAATATTTTATGTTAAATAAATAAAACATAATTTGATTTGTTAACTATATTAAATTTGTTTGTATTTTCTTTTAAAAATTTTGTTTTTCTTAAATAACTACACAATATGAAGGGAAAAAAATATAACATAATTATTATAATCTCCCACACTAAAAAAAAAAAATTATTTATATAATGTGAAAATAGGCATTATAACTATAATACATAATAACAGACAAAAAATAAATAGCCCTGAATGGAATACAAAATCTAATCATTTCATTTATAAATTTATAATTGAATCCATTATACATATTATGATAAACCACAGCTTATTTAAAAAAATTTTCTTGGATTGTCAAAAAATGTAATTATTTAAATTTTTTCTATAATCTATTTAATTAAAAAACTCTCCAAATACAGTTATATATTTTTACGAAATTGGGATGAAAATTAAAATAGATAAACAAGGTGTAAAACTTAATACACAAGGTAAGACAAATAATAGTTCAGAAATTAAATATCATCAATATCATATCACATTCATCTTCTATTAAAACTGAATGCTAAATATTCATGCAGACCATTAGCGTAACAAAATAAATAGAGAATTCTATTAGAAGTCCAAACTATTTTGAAGTGAGCAATGATGGAAATGTAATATGGGTAATACATTAATAAATTTAAAATGATAAAATAATATTACAATTTCCTAGAATTCATTAAAAACCTTTGCCACAAAAAATTGTTACTAAAGAATTACATAATATTATACAGTTAATACTACGATTTACAACATCAAAAACTGGAAAAATGGACATTACAATATTAGTATTTAATACTATGGCGTCATCCAGATCCACTGGAAGTGACACAATCAAGATATGTAATAAATCTATCTTTGCTAGATTGTAATGTATTTAAGAAAATAATATACTAAACAACAGATACTCAAAAGTATTACAAAATAAAAATTAATATACATTAAATGTTAACACATTAAAAATCTAATCCTTTAATTTTAAGTAAATAGTCATTTGAATTGTCAATTTTATATTTTTGTATTTAACGGTTGACACTTAATTTTTTTTTCTTGAAAAAATTTCTTTTTGTTAGAGTGCGTTGCAATGTAACATCTTGTATATTAACATCAATATTTATGGATTCATTATCAGAAATTGAGAGATTACTTTTATTATTATTTTTTGAATGTTTTTTTGCTTTAGCTTGCAGCCGTTTTGCTTTTTTAGATTTACCAGAATTAACAGACTTTGGACTGTTTTTACTTATCTCTCTGGCATTAGGAGTTAATGTCGATGAAGGTTCAGACTTTCTAGATGTAGATTGTCTTGACTCAGTATTTGATCTAGAAGTAGATTGAGCAAATTCATTACTTTCAGGTTCTGGTGCAGTAGATATCTAAAACATAACCAAATATAAGTTTGATAACTACAACTAATTTATTCTTTAACACATTCACCTCCGTACGTATATTCCTAGTCTAGTGCCACACGCCGCGTAACTGTTGACAACATATTACGTGTGCCGATCACGGATCATCGTATATTCTAATACTTAGTTTCATAGGTATTATAACAACTTTTTTTTTTAATTTTGATTGATATGAAATATATTATGAAATATTTTAATTAATATTTATTGTTTTATAAAATAAATACTTTTTTATGATTCCAAGAGTACTGTAGTTATTTTCAATAAAACTTAACGAAAATACACGGGAATCAAAAAACCAACTGCAACGCATTGTTTATTAATACTTTCTGAATGGCCATGTTAAATATTGAAGCAGTATCTCTATGGCCGAATTATTTATAAACATATCTAAATACGAGTGCTAGTGACGATTACGGATCGGCGACGGCCGTCAGCACGCTACTACTAGCGCCGATCCGTGATCGGCGGTGGCAGTGAACGTGTTAAAACAAAAATTAACATTTTTTGTAGATTATAATATGGTATAGTATGGTACACTATGTTTGGACTTATGACGTCCTTATAACTTGAAGCATATGATATTTGTGTTAAGTCTCTAAATGAAATGCTTGTTGTGCACGTATGTGAAGCAAAATGTCACATATTTATCAATATGGATTAATATATACAGGGTATCCCATAGAGATCTGACAAATGAAATAACTTTTGTTCTAATCAATATTAAAAAAAAAATTTTTTTTTCAATATAATTTATAGACACTTGCGCTACATTTTTTATTTTTTTATTTTTAATACTGAAAATAAAAAACTTAAAAATTGATGAATTTTTTTTTCAAAATATTCAATATAGCGATAGCCAATATGTAAATCTGATTTTTAGAAAAAT